AGTAACTTTGAACAGTTCTCCTTTTTCTCCTTGTCCTCCTTGCCCTCCTCCCTCCCCACTCCAAAACGCCTTAAATTTGTTAGAGTCTTTGAAACATTTTTGCTCTGAAAAATTCACAAATTCTCAAATTTCTGTAAGAGTGAGACTGAAGAAGAAAAATAACGAAACAATACTGTAACAAAGTCTTTAGACCATAAGAAGGTGAAAATAGGAGCATAATTTCACCAGCTGAAATGTATTCTTACATAAAATAAATGCAAACCCATACCTGCCCCCAGATAAGCCCACTAATGTTTTTGGGTTGTATTCCAGATTTATAAAATGCTTTGCTCTTCCTTTTCCCTATCTGGGGAAAAAAAATAGTCCAGAGTGAACAGGATGTGCTGGTATGCCATAATAACACTTCAGCAGATATACCACAATTTCCCATGGAGGACATTTGCAATGCAGTAGAGGTATTCAAAATTCTATACCAGGACCTCTGAATTCCCATTTCAATCACAGCTCATACTGACATGGAATATGGACTGATTATGAGAAACTAAGTGTACACAAAGTTCTCTGTAGGGGTGAATAACCTGAATAGCAAGAGAATGCTGCATTTATCATTGTCTTTCATTCCTAGTAATTTGTGTTAGGAGAATACAATTTATCTTAGGAGTTTAACATGTTTTAAGTGAAATTTAAAATGTTTGTAAAAGCAAATGAATAACATTTGCAGACTTATTGATAAACCAAATATAATGCAACCCATTAATCAGGAGTCAAATTCTGAAGCACCTTTCCAATACTGGTATCTATCTGTTCTTACTTTATGCTGTATTACCATCACATTCTAGCACGTCACGGTTCTTGCTTATTTGAATGTCATTAATGTAAATGGGCATTAGATTTCTGGCCTTGTAATCAGAGTAAAACTTGATGCCTCATGACTGAAAGAAATACAGGTTCTCCCAATGATGTCAGGGCACACAACTTCACATAAATAGCTGATTATTGCTTCCTCCATGTTTTGCTAAAGTCATTTTGGTATATTAAAATAGCATACAATGTTGATGTTTAAGGTGGATGAGAGATTATTCTTATAAGTGACAGCTGCCACAGCATGAAGTGTCTCCTGGCAGACTAAAGTCGGAATGAGAGGAGTTCTGTGCTGTTTGTGAGAAAAAGATGGAGGGTTAAGATGGGTTCAAGTGGCAAAACCTTAGCACCAGAGCTGAGGAGCAGGGTGCACCTATAAGAGGGAAGAAAAAGGAAGAATACTCAGCTCTGATGTGAAATGGCTGTGTTTTGAGCACAACAGTCTACCTTTGCAAGCCCATTGAGCAGGACGGCACAATGGCAGACATGAACCAGGCAGGAACCTGGTTCATCTGTGGAGGTTATCAGAAGTCCTGGTTCATACACGGGAAAGAGGAGTATTAAGAGCAGAGAGGAAATGCTTGACATTCAAAGGCAAAATGGAGGAAATAATTTGGTCTTAGCATTGAGTAGAGAGGGGCTAGGAGCCACGAGTCATAGATAAACCCTGAAAATTTTGATGAGGTTTGAGATTAGTTGTTGACTCGGATTTGCAAAAGAAAGACCCTGCTGAACATGAAAGACAGCTGTGCTTGAGCATGTAGATACCATGCTGAGTATATTCTTAGAGCACAATAATTTGTTGTGAGGAAAAACAATGTTTCTGTGCAGGAAAATACATAGCAATATAAAGTTATAGGAAATTATATTAAAATGTAAATGAACAGATGACAAGTGAGTTCAGGAGTCCAGTAAGGAAACAGAAATACTCCAGGGTTTACATCCAGGACTCTGACAGTATTTACTGACTTAAGACAGAAATTGAGAGTTTTGAGGAATGTATTTTGACCAACTTTTGCCACAGAATTGTCTCAAAAGTGAAGGACAACCCTAAAGAAGCAAAAATGGAGAAGTTCTGACTTACGAAGTTATTAGTTACTAACAGCCTTCCTTATTAAGATGCCCATCCTCATGGCTTTCTGTGCATGTTTTGCCTACATGATATTCAAATATTGTTGTGTCTCATCACAGAGAGAGAGAGCCATAAGCCTCTCAGTTCGGTGCCCAGCAACAAGACCTTTCCTGGCTAAATAATGTAATACCAGCTTGGGGTTATTGGAGTGTGTAGGTATAGCCAGGTGGCTTATCAGAGACCTTGAACTTGGTACATGGTTAGAAAGACTGCTTTATGCTTTTATCACAGATGTTTCTTTGCTTGGAGTGTTCTTCCTGACTTGGCCTACATCCTTATTTAATTATTATCAGCAAATTATTGTACATTGATTAAAGTCAAGCAGTCTATTAATGGAAATCTGACTACTATCTATCTTTCTAAATACTTATAGAAAAAAAAGGCTTTTTAAATATAGGAAATATATACTTGAATTTGAAATTTGTTACTGGAATCTTATCATACAGGACCTCTTCACTTTTTCAGTGCAGGGAACTGAGCAAACAGGGAAGTGACAGAGAAGCAGGGAAGAGAAGCAATGTGTTTGAGGTAGGAAAAATGTCCACCTATTCACAGTGAACTTAAGCAGTGTTTTGAAAAGCCTGCAGAGGGATTAGAGGTCTTTTCAAGTGACCTGGAGACACTTAAGTTATGCTTAAGTTATGTTACTGCTGCTTAAGTTATCTATATAAAAGAATGGACTACCATAATGCTGTCCTTACTGCAAAAGGTATTCCTTTTGTCATTCCTATGTCCTAGGATGCTGGAAAGAGTTTTGTTTGTTTGTTTTGGTTTTTCTTCCTTCTCTTTTTCTTCTCTCATTTTTGCTTTGTTTCATCTTCATATTTTGCTCCTTGAATTTTTACCTATCTCTATGCATGCACTTCATTCAAAATTATGTGTGAATCTATATGAAATAAAAATCTAAAATACATGAGCTATGTATGAAAATGCAAATATATGTATGTATGTAACAATCAGCATACCACAAAATGTTCCAAAATGATACATCATGTTACATATATATATGTATATTCATATTTGAATGTCCAGGTGGAAATTTTCTAATTAATCTTTTCTAATAAAAATATATTCTGCAAGGTAGAATTTTGCATTTTACAAAACCATCTCTATCTGAAACAGAGCAATGGGGACAAGGATGCAAATTAATACGTTGGTGGGTTATAAGACATACTCATCATCTCCACTTGATGAAAGATATAGCCGGCATTCATAATGGTAGGGGAATTCTGTAAGCTAGCTACCCTTTTCTCGTTTTTCTAATTCATCTCTGCAATTCAAAGATGCAGGATATGTAGGAAAAAACAGCTGACTGATATTGAAGGATGAGTTTAATCACTTTTGAAGAATGATAAAATTAGAGGTTGATGTGGACAGAATTTACGAGGACTTTGCACCTTCATATTTGAGACCTAAACTGATCAGCAGACAAGGTCAGAAAAGTTAATCTAAGCCCATTTGTGAGTATCAGCCAATTTGGCAGGTATCCTGCTTCTGAAACATTAATTTCTGGAAATTCTTAGAAGATATTTTCAAGAAAGAGTATGTTATTAGCCTGTTCCAGTGTGTAAACTTTCATAATAGAAATGTTTCGGAATTCCCTAATTCCAGACATTCCCAGTGTTATCATGTCTCTCTTTTCCTGGACGTGCTCTCAGAAAAGCCTCTCTGTAGACTTGTTTCCCTGCTCATGGCCATACTACACTAAACAGAGGAAATAGGTGGTGGTAAAGATGTCTCGGCACATGTATAGATGAGTTTTATATGGACTTTTGCTCACAGGCAGAAATCATGTTTGCTGCCCATTCAACTGTGCTTTGTTATATTGCTAATACTGTAAGTCACAGAGGATCTCTCCCCATGCTTTTCCTCGTTAGTTTTTCAGGAGGCAAAATCTAGGCAGCTGGTTCCTGTCCTGTGATCACACTGTTGGCTGTGGTTTTCCTCTTGTGTATCTATACGCTGTGCCAGCCAAAATTTACCTACTACTGCTTTCACACAGACCTCATAATCACTTCAACAACATATGCCAAATATTCTTGCATACCTTATTCATGAAGCAGTTTCTCTCTCCTTTCACCCAGTTCATGCCTACCACTGTATTTCAGAAACCAGCTTGGTTAGTCCTGGGGGTCTAACATGCAAAGTTCACTCGCAAGCATCAGATGAATGTTTTGAAGTTACTGAAAAGAGGCAAGAACATCATAGATATAATTCTGATTGCATTTGTAGAACGAGTTTAAACGCTGATCATCAGTAATTCAAACAACAGAAGGAAAGATCAACTCCTTAATAAACTCTCTAATTCAATTTAATGATTGCTTTTTACCATAGCTAAATTTAGGATTGCACCAGCTATGACTGAGTGTTGATATTAAATAAAGATTATTTTTTTTTTCATACTCTTACAGGAAATGCATTCTTCATGTTTTACAATTATATTAGCTGCTAAGTCATTTGCAGCTAATCTGCAATGACTCTGCGCTATTTCACAGAGCTCATTTTTGAAAGCAATGTGTTTGACCTGTGATTTCATTTGTCTGAATCATAGAATTTCAAAACCGAGTTCACAAAAAATAATAATAAAGTTCTTGTGTCTCTTATTTACAATAAATTTTCAGTCATTTTTCTGTATTTGATTCCTATAGTTATATAAGTGACTTGGGTTTTTTGACATTAATCATCTTAATGCTCATAACCCGCAATCAGAAATAATTACTGAAAACTGAAGATGGTCTCAAATTAGAACTTCTGGATCCGACTTAAAATGTTACTCCAAAATATTAAGAAGACATTCAGCTTTGAGGATTTATTAAGAAAGCTCTAAGATTCAGAACACCCAGTATTGAAGTCATGTTGCCAGCCTGTGGATGGAGTCCAGCCTATCAAGAACTGTAATTTGACTGATGTTGAAGGTAGCTAGGTAACAGATACTTCTGCAGAGCAGACACCCATGCTCTGTCAGAAGGAAAGGCCTCTTGAGCTGTCCATGGGACTGCAAGAAAGGCCAAGCAGGGGAGTCAGACCCATTAATCGGACTGTCCAACATCCACAGACCGAAGTGCCAGTAGATACCTGGAGATCCCATAGGAAGTGCAGGGATGAGTGTGTACCCACAAAGTCTGTAGTAAATGAGCGGTTGTAGTTGTGCAGGCTGCTCACCTATTTAAAACTATGTGCATGCTTGAGAGCGATGTGGGGTAGGAAAAGGACCTCCTGATTTGGAGGAGAGAGTGCCTTCTTCCTTACGTGTCCAGCAGAGAGAAAATCCTTCTGCTCAAGCTTGCGTCTCATTTCAGCAGTGAAACCTGTGCCACTGTAATACTGATGGGAGCATAATTGCTTACATCACAGAGGATATATGAGGCATGCTGTACTGAGGCTGCGGTGAGGTTAGAAGTGTTGACATACCTATAAAAGCTCCATGTAAAAATGTTTAGTTAGTATAAAAGCCATCGATGAAAAATCTAAGGAAGAACTACATGTCACGATGGTTAATCCTCCTCTCTAGTATCTGACCTCTGTAAAGCTGTAAGTAAAATAAGGTAAATGAACTCTGCATAATTCCTTGTGGTTATCTGTCATGAAACCACCTCATCATTCAGGACTAGTGTCAGCCCATTTGGGGGAGGCTCTGCTGCAAGAGCAGAGGGCTGTGGTGGACCAGGACCAAGGCATAACCCATTAGAGGCGTGTGAGAGGGGACATTCACATCATAGTTGCCTACACTTTGTCTTATTTCCCTGCTGATGTTATAGGCTCTGGATTTTGGGTGTCTGAGGACACAGTCATTTGCTGTGTTCCAACTCTGAGGAAGAGTTTTTCAATTTTTGAGAAGGCCCTTAGAATCACATTGCAGAGGAAAGGGTGTATTCTAATTATCAATATCAATAGTAATAAAAGTTTATTAAAGGTCATTAAAATGAAAGGGGATGGCTATAGATCCCATCACTCTGAATTTACTCCCTCCTCTTGTGTTAATTAGAAAACTCAGATAATGGTTCTATGGGGGAGTGCAGGGGAAATTTAATTACGAAAGTTTAATGGGCCACTATCTACTTCCTGCCAGATTAAAAACTGATGATTTATACTATTTTAGATACTACCGGGGGCTTGCTAACAAAATATGTTGCAGAACAAAGAGTAATGCAAGACTTCACCCAGAATATTTTGCTCATTTTTAATGCAAAGACATAAGGCAAACCTGAAAACCAAACAGCCATGACAAAGCTGTTACAGCAAAACCTGAAAGGAACTATGAACAGTGTTTGCTAGTTTCATAATTTTATTATTTATTAGAAACAAATGACGAACACATTTGCATGAGCAGAAGTGCCTGTCCCCTCAAAAAGAAAACTAGAGAAATAATGTCAATTCAAATTGGTCATCTATCAGTTACTGAGGAAAGCTGGAAAAGTCACACTGTTCATTTTCAGAAGTTCTTCTATGACAGTTTGGGTTCACAAACATACAGCCAGGCTCTTCAGTCCATGGTCTTTGCCCCAACAAATTTCATGGCAGCTTTTAATAAACAGATTTTAGTGAATTATTGTGAAACATTTTTGTCCTAAAAAAGACTGAAAAATCAAAATGGCATGAGTGTGAAACAGATAGATCAGTTGGCTGTAAACCTTCATGTACAGATGCCCTCGACACACAGCTTATGGGGAGTTATGACTAGTCAGAACCTCAAAATTACTCGCTTTTTGGAGAAGGTTGAAATCTGGCACCTGAAATTAGTGACTGGTTTTGAAACATTAGACTTCATCACCTCAATAGGAGTTATAATTAAGCAAAGTCTGCAAAGCAGGAATCTTTCTTCAAGTCCTCTATTCAACCTGCTGCTTCCGTTTAATGCAGACGTTTATTATTTAATTTCTGTTTCCATTTAATGCAGTGGTTTATTATGAAATTTAACTCCTCTCCTTAACAAGCTCTATTTTTAGTGAAAACATTATATCATATTTAAGTGCAATTGACATAAATTTCCAGCTGCATTTTTTTCAGCACTAAATGCTTAACTTTAAAGGATTTTTTTATCCAAAAAAGTGGAAAAATCAATAAATAGAATAAAGACCAATCATCTGGTGTACTCTTTTTCCTGTTCTAGATAGGTTTTGGTGTCCAAAAGTTGAGAACTCAGCATTATAAAACGAGGGCCAGTTGTCAGTTTGAATTTAGGTAGATGTAGACAGTTTTATACAGCAGCTTTGTGGCCTGGAGCTGTCTGTCTTGCAGTCAGAGGCCCTCTGTGTCAGCTGCATGTCCTTGAACATTTCAGGCAGAATGTAGCTCTGAGAATTGCTATCCTCCTGGACTTCAGGTGTGTAAACAAAGTCTCCTCCCTTTACTCATTTATTACCAGGTAATGAAACAACATAAAGGAGAAAAACCCAACAAATGGTGTTTGAGCAGCACTGTTCTTCATACTCTTCAAAGACCTTAGGCCACCTGAAGTTAGTAAATAGTGATTTTCCTTGATCTTTTCTACAGAAACAAGGTTTCCCTACCCGTTCTGCAGTTTGGATCGTTCATTGTACCCATCCATATAGCACAGTGGCCTTCATTGCATTGCAATGTTTATGCAATGGGTATTAGTCAAAGCTAAATGCATTTGCATCAACACAGAACCCAGCTTTTACTGAGCAAAATAGCATTCTGTATTTTGAAGGTACATCCCAATTTGTAAATAGTATAAAAAACTATGTCAGGTCACTAGGGATGTCTAGACTTCAGTTGTGTAGACTTCAGGCATGTAATGCTGAATAGATAGCAAAATCAAGTGGACATCTTCAGAAATATAATTGAGAAGAGCAAGCATACGAACATTTACGTGCCTTGCCTTTTATTTGCAGGGAGGGATTCACAGCTAAGTTCTGTAAAGTATTAGTCAGTTCACATCAATGTAACCACCAAACCTCGGGAAAAAAAAACCCTAATTTTGTGAGAAGTTACCTTATTAAGACAGCTGTTACAGCTGCAGGACTTCATTCCATTGGTAATTAATATAAAGGGAGAGAAACAGAGAGAAAGAAAAAATTTTTATGTCAAGTATGGTTCGTTTAGTTGTTTTTTTTAAATTGAGATCCTTTATTTGATTAAGATAGCACCATAATTAGTCTCAATGCACTAATAAGTTGTATTTTTCTAGGCGTTTAATAAGGACCATTCATTCTCCAAGGGGATTGCAACCTGAAATCTTGCTGAAAGACTGGTGCTGCAACAGAGGACAAAGAGAAAAGAAAAGAGGTGAATTAACTGGGAAAAATGCCAGTTACTGTCTTGATCACATGAGTGACCATATGCTAAATGACACAGTAAAATGAATGGATGCACAGTGTGTTGATTTAGTTGCTTTCTTTTCTCTTTACTTTCTTTGATTGTACATGGTGTAATTGTTTTGCATGGCAGAGAGTCCACTCTTTCCTTACCATGTCCACTATTGTGAGAAGAATTGGAATGTGATCCAGCCTTTGAGTGGCGCTTATTTTACTAAAATGAGGGATTGAAAGCCCTGCTAAAGTGATACAGAGCTATAAATTTAAGTCTCCAGCATTCTGAAACACTTTGGGCCAGAGCCTCACCTACAGTAATTGATGAAACTACTTTAACATCAGTAAAGCTCTTCAAACAGATGTATGCTAGCTAGGGATCTCACCCTTTTAATGCTGATGAATTTATCTATTGGCATAAATTTGGGGTTTGCTGAAACAAAAAGCCAGTGATCTTTTCTTGGCAATTCCTGAAAAGCCAGATACTTATTTGAGCATAAATGTGGATCTGGCAACCTTTATGCTCTGAGTTGTGTTGGATCTTGGGATACGGATTTGATCCTGCAAGATGGTGAAGAGGATTCATGTACTGCCCAGCATGTAGGGCTCCTCTTGCCAAGTCCACACATGAGTATGTTACACGCACTTCCAGCTGAGAATTCAAGTGGAGAGCTCCAAGCGGAGAGCTTGGCAATCAAATGCTGAAGCATTAAGATGCAAACTTGTTTTTGCAGAAGAAATCCAGACATCTGGATCTAGTACCAAAGATGGAAAAACACCAAACTGTGTCTAGATGCCAATTTTATTGATATAAAGTTATCTCAGTATTTTCAGGAGAGGTCTCTCTAGTCCTCTGTGCTTTGTCTTTAGGATACTTCTGTGTTTTTCTTTTTCTACATAGATAAGTGATGCTTAACAGCTACTAAAATAGGATTCATTCATTTTTTTTCTCAGCTGGTTTTATGACAGATGGCAAAAGAAGGGATGAATGCACAGATAAATACAAATATAAGGAATAAATATGAATCTGCTCTGAATTCCTGGAGAGAAAGCCGTTAAGAAGATGACTCTTGCATAATGCCAGGTTATTAAAACTGAAAACTCTGTATGGGAGAGTTTAAGCCTAGCCACCAGAGGACTGCCAGCAGGGACTGCAGAATTAATCCTGGAAGGCAGGGCTTCTTACAAGTCAAACCATAGAATTTTTTTTTACTGCATATTGATTTTGAACAAACAAGTTACCTAGACGATTAAACAAGTTAAACAAAAATTATATTGTTTCAGGCAATTATCCACATGTGTGCTGACCTCATTTGGGGAAATAAAGCATTTCACATTTTATTACTCAGAGTGTCAATGAAAAAGTATTCAGGTGATATCTCATTAATGGTTTCATTTTCCCAAACATTGTACAAAGTCACTGCAATACAATGCAAAGTCAATCTATCCATTTGATCTTCTATAACCTTCAGGGAACATTAATAAAATTCTGACTCAAAATATGCCTCTGTCAGTCTCTTTTTAGGCATACGGGTTTTAAAATGTCCTTTACATCCTACTGAATGGGACTTAAGTTTAAATTTAAGCAGAAATGTCAATACTTTTCTGGACAGAGATGCTTGCTGGAATGAAGGCCTCTGCATAAGAATAAACACAGTGGTTGATAAGAGTGTAAACAGAGAGTTTTGATTTGGGTTTACACAACCTGTGATATCATGAGGTTACAAAATCAAATTGCCAGAGCAGTTTAGTGTGTTCTTGTACCCCCACCTGTGTTCTACTGCTTGCATAATTTCCATCTTTTAAGACACTTCACATGTATTTAAAAGTATTTCTAAAGATTTTCAAACATTTCATTCAAGAACTGAGTTTTGTCAGTTAAGGAAAGAGAAAAAGAGCTTTTACAAACCTCTAGCAATCCTTTAGCAAAGTCATTTTTGGCTCCCAAAGGAAGACTGGAAAAATCTATCAGCTATTGTAGAAAATGCATTATAGCGAAAGGAGCTTAGTATGAAACACATGCAATCAATGATGGGATACTTGAACTTTACTTGTACAGTTATCTCCTTAGGGGAGGTATTCTGTAGGTGTTGAACTGCTTTTTCCAAGATCAAGAAGCCACAGAAATAAATGAAAGTGATATTTCTTTCTTTTTTTAAGCCTTGATGGTGCATGGAGGAGTGTGGCAGACTGTGCTGTGCTTTATAGTTATGAAGGCAGTTGCAATAGGTCAGTCACTGGCGGTATTGGTGCTATCAGATCCTAGGCAGGTAAAAGTCAATGTGGGAACTGGGAACTTCTGAAGCATGATGTTCCCTCTTTCACAGGTACCCCATTTTGTTTTGGTGTGTTCCTTTGGCTCATTTGTCCAATGGAGAAAGTACCGCTGATAATAGCTGATATTAAGAGAGTTTATTTTCCAGCTCCCACTTCACAGGTCCCACTCCTCAATCCCACTAGCAATGACTCTGTCCCGCTCTGGCTGCTTCTGTGATCTATCCAATAATGACAGGAAACCCGGGCTGCTTCAGATGAGCACCTTGCCAATAGACTATTGAATTATGCTGTATTTTTATTGCTTTTTAATCTATTGTGTTGAATCTTGTAGTTTTTGCAGTACAGGGTTTCCACTTCCAGAAAAGTGGGGAGGTTTCCCCAGCAGTTTAGTTGACTTCCCTGTGAGCTGAAGTTGCTGCTTTTAATCCATTTGTATATGTTTTTGGATTGGTGCCATAATGTTGCCCCAAATCCATTAAAATAAACAAAAGGCCTGCCATGATCTTGTAATTAGAGTTTTTTTAGTGTTGGACAGGGGGAAAGTCAGACTTGCAGACTCCACAGTCTTCAAAATACCAACTATTTTTGGATAACTCATTAAAATGATGCTCTCACAAAGTGGTCCAAGAGAAATATGTTCTATTCTGAACACAGTATATTTTTTCTCTGATCTGGATGAACTTCTTGAGGAGGTTAGAGGAACAAGTGGTTAGTGTCTTGGTTCAGAAGATGTCTCAGGGAAAGCTGCTCATCCAGACTGCACAATAGGGATGTGTGAGGGAAAGTCAGATCATCAGTATTCAGCCTCTTGCTAAACCCAGAGTAAATGTACATGGCACCTCAATGCTCTTAACTTGCTAGAACCTAGAAAAGATAGAGTTGCAAAGTCTGTGAGTACTTTTTTCAATTAAATTTTGTTGTAATAATCTACTTTTTAGAAATTATCTTTCATTTGCACTTTCATCCTAGCCCCTTTGAACTTTTTACTTTGAGACAGATCAAGGTTTTGACATAGACCATGAAAGCAGCTATGCGAGGTAGCAGACTGATGGGACAAGAAATCATGGCTACGTGAGATACTAAAGACTCTTATTGCATAAGCCCACCTTCCCTGGCAGTGGCAGAGTAGCTCCCAAGGTGCAAACACTGACTCTTTTGAGTGTGTACAGTAATAAATAAGGCTAAGAAGCTGCATAGTTTCAGTGCTGGAAGACATCAGCAAGGAGATGGGAGTGCCTGGGAAGACCCACATCTCTATCTCAGTAATTTTGTTGGAGACAGAGCCTGAGAAGCAAGGGTTTGCTTACACATAAAGGGGAAAAGTGAGGGTTTAGGGGAAAAGTGAGGGTTTATAGAAAAAGTTTTACAACTGGTGCTGAGGACATGAATCAGATGTTAGATGGTGATTTTGTTTCAATATTGAGAGATTCTGTAATCTGTGCGTGTAATGGTAATACAGCTACCTTCTTAATATCCTCTTTCAGATGAATTAGGAAATCTGTTTAAGATTGTGATAGGATTGATTATTTTAGTATTAATAGGATGATTTAGCATGTTTTGTGATCTAATATGCTTCACAGTACTGTGTCTAACTTGTTGATTTGATCCAGTCTGACAGCTGAATTGCTCTCTTCATAGGTTAGTAATTATGACTTTGGTGACATACAGTTTTCAGTGTTATTTTTGTCTAAGTAGCTTAATAAAAGGAACAAAATCAGAGCCAGGCATATTTTTTCAATAAGTAAAATGGGTCTCAGATCTCTGATGACCTGGGTGTAGGTCAGCCAGCCAGCCTAAAAGCTTCCCCCGCAATAACCCCTTTGTTGCCTCACAGGAAAGTATGTGAACTGGAAATTTACTTGAATCCACCACAATAAATATGTTTGTTCAGGGAAAATTAAGAGAGGTGAAGCAAGAAGCCTGACACGACTTCAGTTTTGAGGAAAAACCTGTTTGTGTCTAATACATTGCAGAAATTGCTCAAGAACATTTTGTCCTTGTGGAAGGATTGCCCTGTAATGCTGCTTAATGTCCTTAGGTTGAGACCTTGGGTTACTGGCTGTGTATGTGCTGATCATGCCAGTTAAAACTGATTTTTGAAATGTAGTTTTTATCTGTGTGAGTTCATGACACTTGTTTCTTGAAGCCAGATCTTCTCCTTCCCCTGCCTTTTCTTTTCTTTCTCCTTTTGGCCTGACTTGCTTCCACTGTGTGCTGAACGTGCTTCCCAATGGCAGTGAAACCTCCAGATGGCACATTACCAACTTCCCATAAATTAGAACAGGGGAGATGCACAAGGCATTGGAATTCTTTGAGGTTTAGGTTTATAGGGATTACAATAAATTCAGTCAGATGGGGAGGGTCATTATGTACCGGTGGAATGCAGATAAGATTGTGCTGCTTTTATTTTTCATTTAAAACTGCCATGAGAGATCTCTTGAAGGCTGCAGGAAGTGTTCTGCACTTGGAGGTCTCTGTGATTTCACATATGCAGATCCTGTAGGAAAGGGAATCCAGAGTCAAATCAGAAAAGGGAAAATATAATTTGAGCACTGTTCTGCAGTACTTTCATGGGTCATACAAGGCGTGCAAGCTCTAACTCTTCACACTCTGCCAAGTGATGGCCTTAAAGCCAGACCAGGGAAAACCACAACTCTGGTTAAACATGGTAAAAGCTTTCCTTAAACAAGAGCCATTTGGTTCAGGCAGAACAGCATATTAGGGCAGAATCTTTTCCATTGTCAGGCTCAGAATCAGCCTGCCTGATTATGAATTTTCTCCAGTTATTAAGACACAATTAAAGAAAAAACAATGCCATGAAAAACGTGGGATGAAATAAAGCACTTCTTTGTTCTGAAGAAAACCAGTAAGAATAAAAAAAGAATTCATTGTATTTCTTCTTAAGCTGCCACTTCATTTCACCAGGGGTCAGAACATCATTCCTCATAATCACCTGGTTAGGCCCCCAAACGTATTCCTGTTAAGTGGAATTCTTCACTAATACTGTCCTGATTAATTAAGCAGTCTTTCCCATTTACTGTCATCAGTGACCTATCATTCAGTGTCACTATCCTTCACTGTCATTAAGTAGAGTATGCATATACTGTAACAGGTAAGATGATTTTTGAGACAACTATTGATCCTTTCCCAGTGGTCTATTGCTAGTTAATGAGCATTAGTTTCTTTAATGATGTTTAATGTTGGTGAGTTATTTTTAAGTGATACATGGCCTGACCCTGGAATGTGCTGAACGCCCTTATCTCCTATTGACTTCAGTGAGAGTTGAGGGCACTCATGAGATCAGCCCGTAGGTCTTGTGTCTGAAATAGTAGTAAAATCTTCTTTCTGCTTTCAGGAAGGGGTGAGCAACTCTCTACAGCCAGAGAACAGAGCAGGTTCATGTAGAAGGGATTTTAAAGTCTTGTTTTGCTTTCTATCATTGAAATGGCCAGCTCTTGAGAGAGCGGATGATTTCTATGCAGCGCAGACACCACTGTTCTGCTAGCTCTTGCCTTCCTCTTATTTTCTTCCCATACCTGTTACTGTTTTCTGGTTTCTTCCTTTGCCTATATGAAGATTATCATCCCTTAAGTGTGCATTCCCCCTGCCTTTCCCAATAATCTGCCTGTAGCACTCTGTCCTATGACCCGCTCTTCAAACAACCAACATATAAAATAATTTAGGGAAAAAAATACTTACTTTCTCACTCTTTGCATGTACAGTTTTCTGCCATATTATTTGGTTGATATGTGCAAGCTTCATGGCAAGCAAGATACCACAAAGACGCAGTCCTAGGTGATTCTCCATTTTCCTGTTACATAAAAGAGGTGATGTCCTTAAATCCCTGCACATGAGAAAAGTATTGGCTAGCAAAAAGAATATATTTGACTAGAGAGAATAGAATTTGCTTCCCAGAGATGGCAGTAACACATTTCTGTCAGTGGGAAAGACTGTAATGTTCTGCGTGGAAGCAGAAGATTTCCTTTTGGTTCTTTTTTAAAAAGTCATTTAATTATTTTTTCATTTTTTAGGTATTGTGCAATCCAAATTATGGTAACCGTTTACACCTGACTTTACAGAAAATGCATTGAAGAAACAGCCACAAGCTGAGTAGCTGGTAACTTTCATAGCAATTCTAAGGTAGAGTATGTGTGCTGTGACGTGTGTGCCCTGCAGTCAAATTTGTCAGTTTGGTGGGTAAGAATGAAGAGAAAATACATCCTTGGCAGGCCTGTCTTGAAGAATAAGTATCAGGCACTGCTCATGTTAGAATTAATCCCAGATGCAAGTGTAATAAGAAGGTAAGTTGCACAGATACATATCTTTGTCCTGTGTGAGCATTACTTATTTCATGGACATTATACACTGGAAGCGGGTAGGGAAATGCAACTCTGCACAGTATAGGTAAATTTAGAACTGCCTTCTTCACCTGTATACAACAGGCTTGTTTTTGTCCATTTATATGACCAAATCATCAATTTCATTTAACAAATGAACAGATGTGAAAGTAGAACTGGAAAAAAAACCCCACAAAAACAACCAAAGGTTGTTCTTTTTGCTCTCCTCACAAACTCTTCCTTTCCAGTGGGCAGACATACCCATGGCCCTGCAGCATCTCATACCATGCATGCTGGCGTGCTGTTCCAGAGCAGGCACCCCAGCGTGCTCCCAGCAGCCGGCCAGAGCTGGTCTTATTCTGCATGGTAGAAAAGCCTGGGAAGTACTCAGTCCAAACAGCTGCTGTTCTCACTACTAATGACAGCCCTCTGGATGGAAACATACCTTGCAAGGCTGATAAGTAACCTGACTGACTCCGAGGAGGACTGTGATAGCTTATTTTGGATCCTGATTCCTTGCTTCTGGGTGCCAGTGAGAGGGGGCTTCATGCTAGAGAAAGGGTTAACTGGGATTCTCTATAATTTGTTCCTATTTCCTTTCCCTCCCTTCAGCTCCTTCACAAAATGTTAATCTAATTGTGATAGTATCACTTTGATGACAATATGACAAGACAGACAAATTTGATTTTATTCTCCACAGAGCAAAGCATATGCTGCTTGGGAGACTTTGACAGAGAGAAGGACATAAAACAAATGGAGTTCATGAATATACAATTTTTATTGTACACAGTAGTGACATCCAAACTTCAGAGAATAGGTGGGTGAGACTTATGCTTTACTATTGAGATTAATGGGTACGTAAAAAAGTGCCAACAGAGAGTACTACAGTTTATGTTAAAAATGTCGACGTGGATAAGAATAATTTTCTTCTCAAGATGAATGATGCATTTAATGGCTGTGAGACATTCTTGCCCAGTAGCAGTTCCTCAAAAGTAATTTTTTGTTGTTATTGTAAATTATATAATCTTAACTGCAATTATAGCCCTGTTTACGTAAAGGTCAAGTTAGTACAGTGGATGGTTATAAACTAAGAGGGAAATTGGTAAATTTATTCCCTCGATGAAAGCTTATGAATGATTTTAAGCAAGATAATTTTTTTGTAACTCTATTTCTACTTTAATGTAATATAGCAAGTAAAGACAGCACACATTAACAAAGGGTAAATTAGATTTATCTAAGTAAACATGTATTTGCAATAGGAGTAGTGTTGTTGTAGTAAGGACAGTCTGAAGGTTAAGCTCTCCATGTAAATGGTATAGATTCATTTTCGTGGAAAGCAAAAGGAGGGACAACCTCTGAAAAATTGCCTTTGATGGAAAGCAATCTGTGCTCTCCTGAGCAGCACATGTGTAATCTGCAACACATGAAACTGTACCCGCCTCTTGGCCATAAGAAATTGGTTAGAGTCCTTTTTGGTTTCAAAAGCTTGCCCTTAAACACTGCAGTCTTCTCTGAAGCCCCTTCAGACTGATCGGATTTGTTTTTTCAATACAGAGGTTAATAAGAAGAGTAAGTCAAAAACCAAAGAGGGAGAAGGTGCTATGTATGCTAATGAAGGGTGTTTGCTAAACAAGGGCCTGATACAAGTTTTAGTGCTTTAAAATAAAACCTGATTGGAAACAGAGAAAATCTCAGGAAGCTGCTTAAACTGAGAAGGAAGCTCTCTCAAGTCAGTGGCATGCTTTTGCTCTGAAAAGCCCACATTAGGCTATTTCCCTTTTTCACAGTATTTAAGTGAAGCAAAAACATCATTACACAGAGTTGCCATTTTTTCTCTGAGAACCTGTGTGAGACACTGAACCTGCATGAGCTGCTGCTGATCAATTTATCAAGCTGCTTTAAGTACGACTCAGGGCTTCTTCACTCCATTAGACCACACAGATGTTATCTTTTCCCATTTGTTTCTCTTCTGCAAATGTACATATTAAGAAATTAGTGGGGAAAAAATCAGCTTTACGTTCCTGTTCGATGCCAGAGACCTTCAACTAATTTACATACAAATACGTGTAATACATATTCTAAAAAAAATAAAAACAGCGTTACATGTTGTTTGGGTTTTTTTTTTTTATTCTGTGACAGATGAACAGCAATGGCTTGTTACTTCAGTTTGCCACCAATTAAAATGCACATTGGATCAGCTCTGGCCTGTCACCTACCATTATTGGGAGAAGTTGGCTCTAGGCCATGTTTTAGATGAGCGGGATTTTTTTCACTTGGCCATAGTGCTGCTCATCTCTGCTCTGTAAACTCTGCCTGGTAATTCAGATGCTGGGCAGTGTTTGCAGCTGCTTTCTGGAGAGTTGCCTCACTTAAAGCTCTCAGGAATACCTAGTCATTTTTGTTACATGCTTTTTAATTGTGGCAAGGGGGAGAGTCTTCCTAATCCATCCAGTGTATTAAGGTATCATTTGGGCCCTTCCTTTTTAGGTGAGTGATTTTGCATTTTGGATCATTAGACACAAAGTTTAAGAAGCAGCAGTGTAGTGACAAATCCATGTGACAACCCAAATCTGTAGTTAATATTAGTGAAGCTTTAACTGAGTTTGAACAATAAATTTCATTTAGCCTCAATTTATTAGTTCCATGACACCCACCTACCTTTGGATCCTTTTAATCTTAACAGTAGAAGTAAAACAGCAACATAGGGATGTGAAATCACCAGCAGCAACAGTGAATTATTATGTAATTAAAATGCACTGAACAAGTGCAAAAGAGCATAATCCTGCTGAATAGCGAATTTGAGGCATTACTAGTATCTGGACATGAATATCAGGTACTGTTCCAGGTGTGAAATCAAGATGAAATCCAACTGGGGAAAAAAAGAATCAGAACATGAGGAATTTAAAACAAAATGAAGTATGAAATGGATTGACTCAGAGCTCAATGAAAAATTCAATTTGCTGCTTAGTAAAATGTTTAAACATATTTTTCTGAACTGTTCATCTTTTTTGTCCTCTTTTATGAATGACAGCTTAACTTAAAACATGCTGAGCTGCTGAGGAACCACAGGGCTTGCTAATGTCACCTCTTTGACACTTGTTTTGTGTGGAGATAAATAGCAATAAGATGGAAGGTAGCAGAAAATAAGGTCTATCATCATTGCTCATTATTTGTAATTTGTGGAGTGTGACACTGTTCAGCAGTATGTGCACCAAGAACAGAGGTGGTCTTTGCCTCTAAGAGCTTGCAATCTAAACACAAATACAGATAAGACTGAATATATGACATTTAGTTAAAGACTTAGAATAGTTTGGTTTTTTTAAATCTATTTGTCTCCTTATTGTCAAATTTTGGAAGGACATGACTATTGGAAAGATACAGACAGGTTTAAAGACCTGACATTAGTCAGTCTCTATTTAGGAGGGTCTAGAATGATTAGGAATTGCTATTAGGAACCCTAAAATTGAAGATAATACATAAAACCAAAGGCAAATGTGGAGATAGATTTAAAACCCACAGGTGGGCTCATTTTTGGGGAGATGAAATAAGCAAAAAGATTCAGTAGAGAAAAGATCCAGCGTGTAGACCTGTGCTGAATGAGGCAGAGTTTTGAAAATAAAACATAATCAAAAGCTGATATGGAATGAAGACTGAGGAATAAGGAGTTTTGAATAGAAAGGGATGTCATTTCTGTGGCTTTTACCGTTTCATGGAACTCAGGAAAGGTGCTTTATATAAATAATGCTTTATTTTATATGGTGTGTAGGGGTAGGATGCTATATGGTCCTTTCCAACCCTAACGATTCTATGATTCTATGGTGAATTGTTGTAACTATTCTTTTAAAAGAACCCACAATACCAGCATGAACGTATATTGGCTTTCCACCAAAGTCAGGTGTAAATATATTTTTTGCACAATTAATGAATATAAAGTCCAGCAACAAAAGATTTCACTCACAGCTTTGTTGCTTCTTGTGAAGTCTGGCACATGCAAGCACATGCATATGCACCAGAGGTGAAAATCAGCTGGAAGTATGAGCAACCTTTGCACACTCTAGAAAATAAAAAGCACCATAAATATGGGGGCAGTGTGTGATAGTTCACTGCTCTGCGCTAGATCAGCCTGGTGATAGCGCTAATTTACATTCTTAACACATTGGGTTTTACTGTACTTCAGTGTTCATAAAAAAGGCTAATTAACTGAAACACCCCCAATATTGATGGTGTCCTGTAAATGTCACCTCTGAAATACACAGCATGTTCTTAAAGCAACCCATTCCTGAAAGCGCTGACAGCCCCTGGAGCAGATTCCCTTTTGTGCGGATTTGTTCCAGGGGAGCTCACCATTGTGTTCAGCTCCAAAGCTGTGGTTCTGCCTCTCTTCCTCCACTGGCCACAATACAATATCCGTGGGAAAATTTGCAGAAGGCCAGCATAACTCATTGTTTCACTTGCATAGTAATTAACAACTCAAACAGCAGCAAGGCAGCCACCTATTCCTCTTCGCTGAATGTTAAGCTTGACCTCCCCTCCCCTTTCAGTTCACAACTCCTCTCTTCTCCCAAAATTATGTGAGAAATGATTTTTCATGCTATTTGCATGTTTTAGAGTATCCATCATTATTATTTGTGCTGACAGCTTTATACTTCAGCTGTGACAGAGCTTGAAAAATGCTGGTCCTATCAATCAACATATTGTAGGTTTCCAAAATGAGATCTTCTGTAGCTGACGTTTTCTTTTGCTTTTTCTTTTATTCTCTTCTCTTCAGCAGCAATCTATGGCTTGCTTTTGCTTTTCATTTAATTTCACAATGTCTATAGATTTTATAACTCTACATTGGAATGAAATACTTCTGAGCAGCTTCAGATTATTTGATTGAATCACTTTGCCATAAATCCTACCTATTTTCATCACAAGTACTGACCTCCGAGTTATTTTAGTAACTCTTCCATTTCCACTGTTCTCAGCTTCACCCGCACACATTATTTATGCACATTAATTTCACTCTCACCTCTCAGTCTGAGGTAATAAAATAGGTTTCCTTAAATTTTGCAGGTATTTGATTCCAGTTAATAATTCTAAGTGGAAGTAACATTAAACCCGATAAATCCGTACCCAATTTGTGGCTATTTCTTGCATTATCTTGGACTGTTTCTATTGTCGCTTTTTAAACATATGTTTGCAAGTGAAGATACTAGTCATTAAAATATTGAATGAGCTGAAGACCTTTTTCAGTGTTTATGTCAACATTTCTCTCGTCCACTCATCAACAAGATAAAAGACTGTTTCAATAGCTAACATTATGGCTTCCTGGTAATACACTGAAAGCATAGGTTCTTATTATACTTTTAAAATCTTCCAATAGACAAACTACTCAATGTATAATATCTCAGCCTCAGGAAAAACCCATAAAGAAGCCAAAAGAGCAATTGAGATGTGAGAGAACTGGAAAAGAGGAAAAAAATCAATCCTGGTGCTGCAGTTTTAGTGTTAGTTAGCTGGTTCAATATTAGAGTTCAACCACATTATCAAAAGCCACCCTCTGTGAAAACTGGGGAAGTAGGCAGAAAATTTATATGTGGAAATAGTATAAAGAATTAGTCGTACTGTAAGAATAAATTGGAAATGCTTCTCCATGAGGTTTTGGTTGAGAACAATGGCAGCATTCTCATCTATGTCTGAGAATCTTCCCTAATCAAGATTTCTAATTGCTGCAAGTTGTCATGTTTGCCAAAGGAGACAGAGACTGGGAAAAAAAATACTCTGAAAAGCAAACCTACTAATATTTCTTTACTGATATCTCCTTTTCATTGTCACATTTGGAGCTTATTGAAATCAGTGGGAGTTTTGCCACTTGGTTTGGCCAAGGCCAGGACTACACACCTGCTGAAATTGTTCAGCAGTCTGAACACAGAGTTAGCTCTTTGTGCTGGTTTTGGCTGTGGTAAAGTCAATTCTTTTCACGGTATCTAGTAGTGGGCTGTGTTTTGGATTTGTGCTGGGGACAGTGTTGATAATACAGAGGTGTTTGCTACTACTGAGCAGCGCCTACACAGAGTTAAGGCCTTTTCAGCTAGTAGGCTGAAGGTGCACAAGAACCTGAGAGGAGACACAGCCAGGACAGCTGACCCAAGGGATATCCCATACCATATGGGTCATACTCAGCATATAAAGCTGAAGGAAGAAGAAAGAAGGAGGGATGTTCACAGGGATGGTGTTTGTCTTCCCAAGTAACCACTGTGCATGATGGAGTCCTGATTTCCTGGGAATGACTGAACACCTGGGAAGTGGTGAATGAATTCCTTGTTTTGCTTCGCTTGCATGTGCAGCTTTTGCTTTACCTGTTAAACTGTCTTTATCTCAACCCAAGGTTTTCTCCCTCCCATCCCAATTAGGGGAGTGAGTGAGTGGCTGTGGTTAAACCATAGCACTCTTCCAGAGCTAAAAACAGACAAGGACAATACCGATGACTTTGAGGTAAGTTTTGGGCTAAAGAACTCATCCTCTGGAGTCACACAGCTGTTAGGCTGCAACCCAGACTAAACTGCTTTGTTTGTCGAGGAGTTTTTCTAGGTGGCAGTTTTAATTAGGAATTTAGTATGGCGTTATAAAAGCATTTTGTTGGCAGGCAAGATTAGCCTTGTTTAGATTAGCTGATGCCATTGTGGAAGGACTAAATCATGGAGATGTTATTCAAGGCTCAGAAAGCTAAGAAACCTATGAAACCTATGAATTTTATTGCAGGAATAAGTGACAGCACAGTCTCCATCCTGGAACAGGGTAGGGGCTACAGAGCTAAAGTCTCCAGCCAAGAAGATCCTCTCCACCCCCCAGGTATCCTCAAGCTGTTATGGCATTTCTCAGTCTGCTATGGAAGAGGATCAAGACCCAAGTGAAACCACAATATTAGAGCACCTTTATTGTTCTCCGGTAGGTTTTCTAATCAGAGGACAGAAAAGGTGAGTAAGATGCAAGAGCAGGTTTCACAGAAGTCCTGAACAATTGATTTGGTGTAATGCTGAATTTTAATCAAACTGGAGAATAAGCCAACTTTTAATCAAGATTTTCCATAATGGATTAT